ATCAGCTGATCCAGAAGCAACCAGTGCCATAGCGAGCATGCCAAAGCTTAAACATTAATAAACATTAATAAAATTGATGTAGAGGCGTTTAGTTATTTATTACGTAATGCGAGAAGAGACTATAAACATAGTAATGTGACAATATGTGATATAGATGTTAAGGCAGACTGGCTAGTACGCGTAATAAGTGATGCGGTTAATGAGTTGGCGTCGATAGAAGAAAAGATTGTGTTGGGTATCGATACCGACGCTATCCGGCGCTGTGGTCGCGCCGCACTGTGGAGGGGCGCAAGCTACCGGTCCCCGTGTGAGTCCCCGCCCGAGCACGGTCACGCTATGACCTATTGTATTTTGTCCGACATTAAACTGTAGTAACTGCACATATATCTGTCTCGGCTTCGTGTACCTTGTTGCATCGATCTCTCATCCTATCCCCGTCATCCCGTATACTAAAGTATCTCGTGACGGACCTAACAATTGGCGCTGCGGCTGTAACCTGTGTTCTCGCGAAACGAAGTGTTTTAACGAGTGCAATCCGCAACGAAGATGGCCGACCCTGCAAGACAGATCGAGGCTCTCACAGCGGCTGTAAACAGCCTTTTACAGCTTCAACTCAACAAAGAAAAAGGCGAATCATCATCCTCAGCTCACACATCATCACATTCGGAGATGTACAATCATCTGAGTACACGTGTAGAAAAATACCACTACGGCACGGGCGACGAAACAAAGCCGTTCGCAAAATGGTTGCTACGCCACGAGTACACTGTGGTCACGGAGGCTTCGTGCCTGCCACCTCAGATGCAAACACGCCTTGTATTGGACAAGCTCGGGCAGACGGAATTCGATAGGCTTGTGGATCACGTCGCACCCACAGATCCGTCATCTATGACTCAAGAGGCTCTTATAACGACATTAAAGGAACTCTTCCGCGACAAGATTCCTATTACTCGTCGTCGCATAGAAATACTTAATTATCGTTACGACAGATCAACCCCGATTACGGAACATCTAGATCGTATCAATCGTCATGCTGCCGATTTCGACCGTTTCAAACTGACTGACGATAATCTTCCTATTGTTGCTGCAATCGTTCTGTTTCTCTAGTGATAACAACGAACTAAAGAAGATCGCGCTTCGCGTCATCGAAAAGAACCAAGCCGCGTCTCTTAAGGATGTCGTCGCCGAGCTCGAAACTTATATGAACGTCGCGTCGGGTTTAAAAACGCTCCGGAACCCGACAAAGCATTCTCAAATTTCCGTGTTAAATATCGCGCAATCGAAACGCAAAGAGAAAAAAGCATCATATCGGAAATCTACACCGAAAGTGGACACGTCGAAAGCCAAGCCATCATCCGCAAGTAAATGCAATGACTGTGGTGGCGCTCATCTGCGAGCAAAGTGTTCTTTCCGCGAAGCGGTGTGTTACAAGTGTTCGGGTAAGGGCCATATTGCGAAGGTATGTCGCTCAAACGTTTCAAGTGTTGCTAGCGTCCAGGAACAGCCCGAGTCCCCCGCGATTGCGAAAAGTGTCGTGTCTCAATCGCTCTCCGCGGCCGATAAACGTAAACGACAATACGTGCAGACGTCACTATTCGGCAAAACAGTGACACTACAATACGATACCGGATCAGATATTACGGTAACCGGTAAATAAGACTGGATTCGTATCGGTTCGCCAAAATTAGTATCGAGCGATACCGTTGAACACGCTGGCGGGAGTGAACTTGACATTATCGGCAGATTCTACTGTACGATCCGAGCACTCGGCCGCGAAGGTAAAGTTTATATTAATGTCGCGTCGCGCAACGGAGTTAACCTATTCGGTCTTAACGCCATCGATAGCCTTAACTTGTGGTCAACGCCGTTATCCGAGCTGCATCCGGGCAGTCCCGCGTTAGACTCACAACCCGCAACCTCGCCGACATCAAGGGCATCAAGCGTGCACCAGATGTACGCACAGCCGCCTAATCTCTTGAAGAGTGACCAGGGGGTCACACCTAACCTCTTGAAGAGTGACCAGGGGGTCACATCACAACACAACGTTTACCTCGAGGACGTCCTTCAACATTTTCCGACTTTATTTGCCGACGATTTGGGAACTTGTAGCAATTTCAAAGTGAAGTTTAATATTGCCAGAGACGCTCGTCCAGTCCAGTCAAAATGTAGACAGATCCCGTATGCGATAGAAGCTCTACTCGCCGAAGAATTGAAACGGCTCGAATTCCTTGGCATCATTGAATCGGTAGCAACTTCAAACTGGACATCGCCAATCGTCATCGCAAAGAAGCAGAATGGCAAGATACGCCTATGTGGGGACTACTCGACAGGTGTCAACAGCGTTTTAATCAGCAACAGCCACCCCCTGCCTACTGTTGATAACATCAATGCAAAACTTAACGGAAATCGTTATTTCAGCGTACTGGATCTTAGTGACGCATTTTTCCAGCTCGAAATTGACAAAGATCACCGTGAGATCACTACTATAGTAACACCATTTGGACTTTACAGGTATACTCGAGAACCGTTCGGCCTCAAAACAGCACCGACTGATTTTCAACAAGCTATGGACAACACACTCGAGGGTCTCGAAAGAGTGTCTGCATATTTTGATGACGTCATAGTCAGAGGCCGTACTCGCAAAGAGCATGACGAACGTCTGTTCAAAACTCTCCAACGCCTGCAAGATAGAGGATGGAGACTCAGAGCCGAAAAATGTCGCTTTGGCCTGGAAGAAATCAAATACCTAGGCTCAATCGTGAATGCGCATGGCATATCAGCTGATCCAGAAGCAACCAGTGCCATAGCGAGCATGCCAAAGC